TATGCACAATAAAGATAGCATGTACAGCAGAGGGATAACATGTGCAGCAGTCTAGATATGTATGTACAATAAAGATAGCATGTACAGCAGAGGGATAACATGTGCAGCAGTCTAGATATGTATGTACAATAAAGATAGCATGTACAGCAGAGGGGTAACATGTGCAGCAGTCTAGAAATATATAATATAACAAGACATTCGCATATATGTTCCCTATAGCCGGCCGTTTGTGGACACTCATGTGTAGCCTGGGGTGACATAGGCTAAAAAATCGTATTTTTTCTTTAAATATATATATTTATTTTGTTCCAAAGGTAACGCCGGGCGTTTCAGCTACTATACAATATAATATGTAATTGCACAGTTTAGGGATAATTATGTACACTGTACAGCAGTCTAAATGTATGTGTCCAGTTTAGGGATATCATGTACAGCAGTCTAAATATATGTGTAAGGGATATCATGTACAGAAGTCTACAGTTTAGGGATATCACGTACAGCAGACTAAATAGTTATGTCTTAGAAAAATTTCAACACAAAACTAGCCTTCCAATATTTCATTTCTTTGAAAAAAAATTGTATAATCTGATGCTGTTTTGAACCAGATATTCACTCAAGGGGAAAATATTTTGTGTATTCTTGTCCGACAGAATTTATGAATGATCAAGTTAATGTGCTTTATAATAGTGACTTGAAGATTTATGCAGCAAAGACTGATAAGGAAATTTAAAGAATTTGTATCTTAAAAGCTAGAGGGTAACTTTATGAATCGAGAAAGAAACGCTCTTGATTGAGGGTCACGAAATAAGGTGTACAGTCCCTTTAAAATACACACAAACTAACCTTTCTAACAAATGGAGACATATCTACAGCAGACTCCTTGATTGCTGGCAGCATGATGGGAACTATCACGGGTACACGGATAGAAGAAAGTACACGCAGTGCGCTTGCTCTAATCAGCTGATTCGGGTCCTTTAGCGCTCTTTGGAAGGTGGAGATTGAGAGCAGAGCAAGATCTTGTTTTTCCTCAGCATATCTAATAGAAACAAACCGTTATATTAATAATTTGAAAATCTAAAATTCTTTTTGTAAACTGAATTTATCACATTTGATTCCATGTACACTTAATTTAAAAAAAAGAAAAACTAAGGGAAGAAATCGTACGAAATATATGTACACTGTAAGATGTACATCACTTAAACAAAGAATTGCTGTCACATATCTATCAAGGTGTCAATCACATGTTTAATCAGCCAATTTAACTATTAAATTTTTATCAAGCTGTCAAATATATCTATGACATTGTCCATCAGGCAATTTAACGATCAAACATTTAATTAAACTGTCAAAAAAAATCAATCAAGCTGTCAGACAAACAATCTTTTGGTCAATCAAGAAATCAAACAATCAACCAACCTATTTATAAGTTGTACTACCTTGAAAGATAAACATAGACAAGTTTCTTGATCTCGATGTTCTTACTCGCAACATTCTTGACCACAGCGGGGAACAGGTCAGACACATCGCGTCCCTTAATCAATCAATCAAGCAATCAATCAATCAATACATCAGTAAATGAATGAATATATGACTCAATCAATACTATTTATTTATCTTGATCAGAAATACTCGAGTCTATGTGTCATTCATATTAGATTGTACCTCACTATTAAAAACGTGGTATAAAGGAGTCAGGCATTATTGAGGACTTGTATTGAGATAACAAAAATGTACAATACTTACATCTCAGCTTTATACAACAATCTGTTAATTACTGCTTATCAGATAAATACCGACCTTTGCAAGCATTGCAATAATTCTCTTCATAGCATCCAACTTCTGGGAGTCCTTATTAGAGTCCAACATCTCTCTAGATGAATCACCGACATAGGGTCAAACGATATAGGGTCAAACGACATAGGGTTAAAGCGACCTAGGGTCGAACGACATATGATCAAACGACAAACGGTCAAAAACGCGACAAAGGGTAAAATGACAAAGGGTCAAAATAGAAAAAAATGTTTTATGTATTATTTCAGCGTTTAGGTTAAGACAATTTCTGAGCGGAGCGCTGCGGCTAGGGGGCCGAGCGCTGCGGCTATTAGTTCAAATACACATTGAACATAACAAAAAATGTGTATTATTTCAGGTGTAGGTAAGATTAGGATAATTTCTGGGCCGAGCGCTGCGGCTAGGACAGGCTAGGGGGCCGAGCGCTACGGCTATTAGTTCTAATAAGCATAAAAATAGTTCAAATTAATTTGCCCGTTTGTCGCAATTTTTACCCTTTGTGGCGTTTTTGACCGTTTGTCGTTTGACCCTAGGTCGTTTTACCCTTTGTTGTTTGAGCCTATAGACATTCGACCATATATCGTTTAACCCTATGTTGGTAATTAACGATAATTAATAATAATTAACAAAATAAACAGATCTATCGATTAATCAACTGATCCATCATCTAATTAATCAATTAATCAACCAATTGATCGATTGATCAATCCATAGATAAATCAACTTATTAATCGAACTGTCAATATATCCATCGATGTATCAGTAATATATATATAATCAAATGGTCAAAAATAAAAAGATTTAGTAACTAACAAATCTATATATTTATCGATCTAAGTATCCATTTATCAACAAATTAATCGGATAATCAACAATTCAATTGATTAATCAACGAACTGATCGGTTAGTTAACAAAATCAAATCAACTCATCAAACCATCCAGTGTTTCGGATCCGGATCCGTATCATTTGGTCGGATCCGGATCCGTATCAGGAAACGTTGATATGGATCCGGGTAGCGCCAAAAATTAACCAAAAAAATAGAATAAATAAATCAAAATGGTTCGTAAATGTATTATTTACATGACGAAAATTTTTCAAAATTATCTTTAATAATTTAATCTTTACATTTATATAATAGTAATGACGACATTTTTAACTTTAGGATTACTATAGTTTATAAATTACAACCTTGCATAACATTTAATAGGGAAAATCCGATTCACAGAATCAAAAGTTACCTCGGATCCGGATCCGTATCAGGATCCATCATCACGGATGCGGATCCGCGGATCCGGATCCGAATCAAAATGATATGGATCCGAAACACTGGATGTATGAATAATAAAAGAATTGATTGATTTATTCAAGAATAATGAACGAATCTCAAGGATATCCCATTATAAACATTTCATCTAATATATAAATAAATGAAGACGAAATATTGTTTAAAAGTAAACTGACCTCAGATCTCCATGTTTCTTGAAGTCAGAGTTAAAAATATTTGAACTTCCAGAACCTTCCATATCTGTCGCCTAAATACAATAGATGTTTCATATTTCGATCAATTTTCAAAGCATGTTATATTTAGAAATAAAACTAATTTACAATGTACTTTCAGTTGTTTTGTTAGGTGGCTAGAATTGTGCAATTATCAAATAACAGAATAAAATATTAAACACACACACAACCATTACACGTACCTCCATAGTAGGAGAAAGATCTCCTCCTCCCTTTGTTAATGAATTCTGGGACCCCGCCATATTCACTGAAAAATAAAAACATAAAAATATATTATTATTCTTAGTTATAAATTACAAATTGTAGGTTTTATTTAAGGGAAAATATTTGAGATCAATCTATTATCGTAAACATTACAGTGGCAGTTTAACTAGTAAGCGTATTAGTTACATGAGGTTTAAATTGTTGAAAGGCAAGAGTAAAGTTTTATACAGCAAGATCATTCAATTTTTCAGTTAGCGCGTCATTGGTTCCGCTCTCTTCGTTTAGTTTTTCAACAACTTCCGGTTTAGCGTCATCAACAACCGGTTTAGCGTCAACATTAGCTGGCTCGTCATTCTCCTTGTCCTCTTCCTTCTGTGATGTGTCCTATAAGCAGGGTTAAATATATTTACTAGAAAAATATTCCAATTCCCTTTAAACATAACGTTTCTCCTTATCAAAATATTGCCCCTAAGAGTATTGGGCATGGGCATCTATCTATATACTTTGCTTGTCTGTTTGTTGGTTTGTCTGTCCGTTTGTATCCAATAAACGACAAAACGGCTGAAACAATCGGGCCCAAATTTTGTGTGGTACTTCACAGGTCCACAGGGAAGGTTTATAAGATGATCGGATTTTCAAAAAGTTGCCTTTAACAAAATTAGTTTTTTTTTAATTTTGAAAGTCCACGATTTTTTATTTTTTATAAGATCAGCGAAATTTTTGTTCTACAATGTATACAAAGATAAAATGTTCACAATTGAAATAGAAGATGAACGCGAAGCTCCCTAAAAGCCTAATTTTAAAGATTTATTTTTCGATGAATGGGGAAAAATGTTTTCTGAAAAGATTAGGTGTAAAAGCTTTGTAATCGAAGTAAAATTTTCCATTGACCCCTCTCAATCTTATTAAACATTTCTACTAAATAAATACCCCTGCCTGTGAGCTCTCCGCCCCTCCGCCGAGAATACCTCGACCGTCCGCCTGTGAGCTCTCCGCCACTCCGCCGAGAATACCTCGACCCTCCTGCTTTAATATTTCAGCTGCCTCAGATTCAAGAACATACTTTCGAGCCTAAAACATGTTTTATGTTATTATTTTAAAAAACACTCCTAAGGCGGTTTTCTACTAATTTCATATTTAATCCTGGTTGCGGAATAAGTAAATTCTGGTTTATTTCGCAAGAAAAAATTGACTTAATGAAATTTGTGAGAAATCCGGGGTTTAAAACTAATTTGGCTTCTTCGATTTGAAAGATTCTTTAATTTGAAAAAATAAAGTGACATTTCGCAATCCTATGTGATATTATAAATTTATAAAATTAAATAAATCCGCTTTAAATGATGTAATTTAAACATTCGAATCTTAACAGTAAGCCTCACGAGTCCATATTAGTCTTTATTTTACAGGGTGAATTTTCGGTCTTGTGTAGCAATTACAGATGGTAAAAACGTTTTATAGATATGAAATGAATTCTGATATTTTCTTTATAATACTGCACTCTAAGTTCAACTACAGGGTGTCCCATTAAACATGGGAATTAAATGACGACTTCTATATCGTCGTTGTTCCATTTGGGACTATTTCGTAGTATCACAGCTAAACATTTAACATCGAAAACTACTACTCTCGAGATTTTCAAAGTGTGGTCTAACATTTTTTACCTTCTTTTTATTAAAACTCAACAAAACTGTTAAATTGTTAATAATATTTCCGTCAGTTTTTAAGATACGAAGAAGGTTGACCCCATTTTTATGAGCTCATAAGACTTTCAATCTGTTTTTGATGCACTTCATCTCATTTATCAACTATCGGAAATCAAAGACGACATTCAAGTCGTCTCTCAATTCCCTTGTTTATAGAGACACCCTGTCAGTATGTTCTCATCCGAATCTACTGAATATCCCATCCCACCATTTCCATTATTTCACTGCTATTACCTTTTCGAATGCCTTCTCCCAAAGTTTTGCTTTTTCTGGGTTAGAGAACCTGGCAGCCAGGGTTTCTGGTTTAGATTCCTCGTCTGCACAATCAGCCTAAAACAAGATCGAAGAAGATCATAAGAATTCATGACTAAAACTCGATATTTTTTTTCATATCCGACCTGCGATCGAATTCAATAAAATGTAGTGGAACTATATACCGCCGGTTCAAATTATCATGAACCTTTAAAACTTTGAACCGGTTATTCAAGATTTGAACCGGTTATTCAAGATTTGAACCGGCGGTTGGTAGTTCAGCGACCCAATTTTACTAGATCAAATAGTCAAAGTTATATCAAAAGTTAAACACAGTCAGGTTGTGAAAATAAGGAATTAGAAAGTTAGAAAAAGGTTGAAGCAAAAAGGCGGTCTTACTTCTTTCGGAGAGGGGATGGGGTGTTTACCTGGGTTTTCCAGACCCAGGCTTTATCAGAGCCCGAGTTAGGTTTCAACTCCATCCAGGGAACAATAAAATGGTTTGCACACAGTTTCAGAGTCTTCTCACGTCTATATTAATTATTAAAAGTTTTGATAATTTAAAATTCTTTTTACATTACACAAAAAGGGGTATTGAAAACAAAGTTTTAAGGGAAATTTTAAACTTGAGACACTTGTCGGGTTTCCCACATTTTTAAAATCCATTTCCGTGATCAATCACCGGCTAAATCAGAATTTAATTAGGTGTTATTGCTTTTTAAATACCAATCTTAGTTCTATCTGAACTTCTTTTAATACCGATTAATTGATTCAGTAAAAACGTCCTTGCATTTCTAAAAAACATTCCCGTAGAGTTTAAAAATACTTAATTTTAAAAAACCAGAAATTAATATTGTATCTACCTCATGACAATTCTGCAAGTGTTTTTCTCAATATGCTTGAGTATCCGGATATCTCCAGTTCCCCGCTCCTTCCATTCAGGAGGATCACATTCATGTGCATACCTAGAAATATTCAGGAGGATCACATTCATGTGCATACCTAGAAATATTCAGGAGGATCACATTCCTGTGCATACCTAGAAATATTCAGGAGGATCACATTCATGTGCATACCTGTAAATATTCAGGAGGATCACATTCATGTGCATACCTAGAAATATTCAGGAGGATCACATTCATGTGCATACCTAGAAATATTCAGGAGGATCACATTCATGTGCATACCTAGAAATATTCAGGAGGATCACATTCATGTGCATACCTAGAAATATTCAAGTATTTCTGAAAGTTTTCAAAACGTATTTTCATGTAAATACATGATTTAAGTAAGAAAGTAGCAAAATGATTTTCCATTAAAATTTAAATGGTGGGAAAGGTTTTAATGATATCCCAAAAGCTAACACTTAAATGTGCTAAAAGAGCAAGTTGTTTTTTAATGTTTAGGTTGATATTTTGCAACTTTGAGCCAAATCCACAGAGCTAAAATATCGCGGCTCCAGTAGATCTGGGTCTACAATGGTGTAAATGTAACTTATTCTACCTGTAGAGCTTTGCCCTGATCTTTATCATCTCCTCCTCCTCATCCTCTCCTTTACAACAAAAAAATTGTTTAAAGGGAGTGACTGCCTAGATATGGTAGTTAAGTGTAGACAGTCCCTCCCTTTATTAAAAAGATATACAAAAACGAAATACGAAATAAAAGCTTAAATAATAAGTACCTAACATATAAGAAAAATGTTAAAAAAATTTTTTAAAAATATTTTAGGAAAAAACCCAAAATTTACCCACCATACTGATTAGTTTCTAGAGTAAATTAACTGAATTATTAAATCTACTAAATTGAATGTATATTTTCTATTTCTATTAAAACTAAATCTCTACTGAATCAACTAAATCCACAAAATCCACCCAGCTAATAAAAGAATTTAGTGATATTACCTGAATTGACGACAATCTCCGGCAAGTAGATGATTGGCGGGTAGTACGGGTCAATGCTGCACACAGAGTCATTGTTCTTGTCCTCGCTAGTGTCCTCTTCGTGCTTAGCGTCCTCTGGATCTACAGTTGGGTCCTCTGCAGCCGGTTTATCCATTTTACTAGGACTTACTCCAGCAGAATCAGGCATTTTTGTCTGTAAAGGTAAGCTCAAATATTTTTATCTTAATCCAATAAATGCAACTTTGTCAGAGCTTTTACGTCTTTTTAAGACTTTACACATTATACACACATAGTTCACAATGTTACGTACAGAAAAAGTAAAAAGATTTGCGTAAACAGGTCCAATCTTGTGCAAAAATGTGAAATTTTACAAGATATTAATTTGAAAACAAACGCCGGCCCTTATTTCGTTCTTGAAAGAAATCAAATCAAATCAAATCAAATCATGAGTGTTTGGGAAAGCTTTAGGCTCCATTCTACAGCCTGGAGTTTCAAGTCCTGACTGAGAGATGGTTGTTCAGCCCGGATTTGTTTAATGTTTTTGCCGTTCATGAATAAAATGTTGAAGTTCGGCGAAATGATCCCAGCAACACGACCAAGTTTGAGCCATGCAACCATTTTTAGCTACCTTTCATTCATGGATGACACTTTGTATGCTAAAAATCTATTTTCAAAAACAAATTTTTTAATATCATTCAGTGATGTGGAAATCTGTTTTAATTAAAAACTAGAATTAAACAATAATTTATATCAAGCTTCAGAAACATCTACGGTGTTCAATCTTATTTGCAATTACAATAGACCAACACAAACCAAAATGTTAAAAGCTGAAAACATCATCAGTTGTTATTCTACCCTCTCTAGAACCATTGTTTTGAAGGTAAGTACAGAGCTCCTCCAAATATACTGGAATGTCAATTTACACATGTTCATACTTTTAATGATTGCAAAAATTTTAAAATCCATATACAGATTTAGATTTTCTTTTAGCGAAATGACTAAACTTGTTATAGCTACAAAATCTAAAGCATTTTGTGCAATTTATAATGTGGATTAATCTGTATTTAGATTCACATATAAAATTAACAATAGAAGAAAGCATCTCAATACTGATCAAAAATAGGTGTCGTATCAACTGGACTAATGATCGATTGAACTATCGTTTGTTTGGACTAATGTTCAAAAGGACTAAAGACTACATTAAAGATAATTGTTAATTTTTGTTCATGTGCAATAATGTTCAAATTAATTACAAACCATTTTTTGAACAGCTGACGTTTCAGTGCAATTTAATGACACTTTACTTGATCATTAGTCCAATCGATATATCATCATAAAATACATCATCAGATACGATATAGTGACTGTATAATAAGTCAACATGCAGACTAGTAAAATATTACATTACAAAGCTACCAAATACATTTATATAAAAAATAATCAATTGTGCGAGCAAAAAGCATTTAGATTAGGGTTGTGACATTTAATCAAATAATCAAATCAATTAATCAACTGGGCTGAGATCGTAATTTACTAAATTTTATCAATTTTGACTAGGTTAGATTTTAATATTTATGACTAGGTTTTTATACCGAGTGAGGGGTTGTTATCGTAATATAAATAATAAGCAACATTAAGTTACAGCTTCATCATCCATTTACAATAGTTTCTGCTATATTTTCTAATTTAAAAAAAAATTCGAAAATTTCTCGACAAATGATGAAATTGCCAAAGTTATTCAATTTCAAGAAAGAAAAAAAGCCCCTGTAGGTTGGGAGAGTTCTATGCTAGACCATAATCTGATATATTAAGATAAGGTGAGGACTGAATGGACTCCTCCAAGTTAATTCTTTGAAAAAAAGGAACTTGACTTAAATATCTTGACTCACGAAACTGGAACATGCTTCCTAAAATAATCAAACTAAAAATCCATAGAAAATATTGAACAAAGATTATTAAATTTGAAGGAACTTAACAATATTGCAAGATTTTAGTTTATTTAATATTACCAGACTCTAAATAGGTAAGTTGAAAGTCATTATAATTTATGTCAAGCAAGTTGGAGGAGAATTATGAAGATGCAAGTTGGAGAATTATGAAGATTTACCCCCCCCCCTCCCAGCTTACAGGGTGGCCAAAACATTTTTGAACCCATCCGTACAAAAATCCGTACATTTTCAGAAGAAATCCGTACAATCCGTACAATTTTCGAAAAACAATCCGTACAATCCGTACAATTTTTTTTTTTTAAAAATCCGTACAATCCGTACATTTTTTAAACCAATCCGTACATTTTTTTAAAGATCCGTACATTTTTTAAAAAATCTGTACAATCAGCACAATTTTCGAAAAAAATCCCATTTTTGAAAAAAAAACTTAAAATTCAATTTTTCATTC